GCAGCAGTGGCGTTCTTGTTGTCATTTCTTATCAGGTCAGAATGCAGAGTTCGATTGCGTACTCTGTGTGTTGATCATAGTGGCTCATCTTCTCCCTTCCTCAAAATAGATCCAACCCCTGTCCACCTTAAATTTTACCACTAATCTTGTATGCATTGTGATTTTTGCAGCGGTCAGTGATGTTCGCTTCACTGTATTTCGCTGTACGATAATGATGATGATGATGAAGGACGGACTTATTGGTGAACATTCTTTCAGTATAACAGTACTTAATAAACATTTACTCGAGGGAAATTTGAGATTGTCGCCTTTCTTTATGAACTGTAAATGTGTATTCCAACGAAAGTAAACGAACTTTTCTGTTGTTGGTAGACAAGATAACATTGTGTGACCAATTTGGATAGAATTGTCACATCGCCTCTGTTTATATGACTATCCTTTCAGAATGAATCGTATCGAGCCTGCGGAGTACAGTTTCATGCCTAAAACCTGGGTCCTTCCTCAAGAACATGGCTTCTTGTTGAACTATGCACGACGAGCGGTGATGCGTGGTCAGAAACCAACCTTCATATTAAAACCGGCGAACGGTGCAATGGGTCATGGGTATGTATGTCTTTCATCTCTATGTTGATGTTGGTGTTTTTGCTAATCTTTTGATCCATCGGCGATACTACTCTAATGAAATCATCATCAACACTCCAATTGCAGTCGATTTTATCTGAACATAGAAACGTATAGCTCACCCTTTCCCTATCCCTTACCTTAATGACCCTTCGATCTTAGGTAAAAATGCGTCCCCACAAACCTCCGTACAGGTGGACTGGTAAATTATTCGAATCATTCGGACTTTTGTTCTAATCTTACAATGAGTTTAGTCTGAAATGTAGTGCTATTTTATCCTATCCCCATACAATATACATGTCACCACTCTCTGAAGAAAGACTGTATCTTCTACCCTTTAAAAATTTGATCACTGAATCTAATAAAAGTGTAGACAGGTAAATAGCCTAATCCACTGGGGAATATTCACACTTGTGTTGGTAATGTGAGTTTTTCATTTCATGGGTAAGCCCAATCTCAACTTTCTCGTGTACATTTTTGCAACACACCATACAATATTGATTTTCTTTAATATCATGCCAATATCTGTTGTTCCAGCATTCGACTATATAGAAATGCGGAACAGATACCCGCCAATCCTATGAGTGGTAATCCATGCGTGGTGCAGGAATACATTAACAATCCGTTGCTAATTGACGGGTACAAGTGTGACCTACGAGTTTACGTTCTNNNNGTACATCTACAATGATGGTCTTGTTCGACTCGGTACGGAAAAGTACATGGATCCGTCTGAACCCAATGGGGTGAGTACGGTTCCTGATTGGTTTTAAAAATGTTTTTTTGAAAAATGACATCCTACTGGGCCAATTCAAACTATAATACATCTGCCGTAGCAGAAATGCATCACTTGTTCATTTTTAACTTCATTCAGACAAGTCATGGCCCTAATCTAAGTCATTTTCGCACCTTCACCATAGAAGGAATTGCAAAAAGATTGAGAAAAACCCACTTGTTCAGTTCGTACAGCCGTGAATCATGCATTTTCGCGCGGCGGTTTTTGCTATCCATTTCGGTGCAGGAATAAAAGGAACCAAGTCTCGGATTTGTAGGAAAAATTTCGTCATACATCGATTGCTCAAGTTGTGTCACGCTCATCGCTTAACTATGATCCATTTTTCAAACTTACTATGTTATACAACCAGAGGTGTAGCTTAAAGGTAGCAATTAAAAATGGAGTAAAAGGTCCAAGTTATTGGTTGTTCCTGTACAAATTAAAAACTGATATTACTAATGTTTGATGACCTCAAACTGCTATTGGATCTATTAGTTGACCATCCAAATTACGCCAATCCATTGAGGTTACTAAATACACATACTTTCAGCAGCGCTATAGATGAACTGAATATTTCCTTTAAAACCAACGGTTATCGTAGTCAGAATATCGCTACAATTAGTCCTCTAATTTATGTTCAAAATGATCATACTGAATTGGTAGCGGGAGAAAAACTTTGGTATTTAGAGAACGCACACAGTGATCATGTTGCGGAAAGTTATAGCGCAAGTGCTCATACTTGAAGGTTTTGTCGGTCTTTTTGGTATGCTTTGGTGTGCCGCTGTAAGACTCAGCATGAGCTACCTCTGCTTCGAAGCTTTACGCTTCCCGCTCTTTTCTCAACTCACGATGTATTCAGAGTCTCTGTTCTTACAGTAGAACAGTACTGAATCTGGTTTGGAGGACAACAGCTATGTGACCGGTATGAATTCTACATCCGAACAAAACTCTCCTTCAAACATTTTAAACTACAAAAAGAATACCGCAACTGTTGTCTCGAGCGAAAAAGCCAGAACCGAAACCAATAAGACTGGATGCAGCATTTGTGTGTAATCTTTGCGTGTAGTGTTTCACATCTCTTCTTTATCTGCCAAGCAATCTTCGATCGAGACAATGAAACATGATGGAGATCTTAGTTCGTTTCATCCTGCATCATCTTTCATATCCTTCGCTGACCAACGTGTCATTTACTGCTGAAAACATGGTTTTGCGAGAAAAGCAACCCCATATGTGGAAAACATTATACATGCAAAATTCCTCATCTTTTTGGCGAATCACATATCTAAACCATTAGCCATTTTATTCCAACGAATGCTCGACCAAACGGCACTCCCACAATCGTGGAAACGAGTTATTGCACCTAAATACCAGGGTTGTTGTCATAGTGACCCCGTTAACTACCGACCTTTAACCCTACTAGCAGTGTTGTCGAGAGCCAATTAATTCACTGGGGCTGATTACCTGATAGGATACTTAGAAAGGTATAACATTTCTCCAGCTCAGCATGGGTTCAGGCGAAAACGACTCTGTTCCATAAACTTGCTTCTTGTTCGAGATGAATGGACCAGAACGGTCGACGAAAGGGATTTGATTTATCTGATTTTCCCGAAAGCATTTAATCGGGCAGACCATCAAATTTTTTCACAGTCTCAGATTGCGATATTCGGGGTTTCTTGATTAATTAGATTAGAGTATTCCTCCGACAACGGACCATATCCGTCTGTGTTTCCGATTCCCTATACTGTTCTATCAGCATTACGCTCGATGTTTTACAATGATATTTGCTTGGTCCCGACTTTTCCTCGCATTCATAAATGATATACCACATGCGCAAGGGTCAAAACAGTACTGTTTACAGACGACGCCAAAATTTTGGATACAGTAACGCAACCCGAAGACTCACTCTCACTTTAAGAAACATTTAATACAGCTTATTAATGGTCTACGGACAACGAAATTGAATTCAATGTCTCTAAGTGTAGAGTTCTCTCCCTAGGCCACAGGACTGGATTCCGGTATTTCCTCGGAAATTACCAGTTGTCACATACCTCAAGTGAGAAGGACTTAGGTATGATTGTTCAATAGGCTTAAAGCTTCTCGATCAGTTGCGCCACTGTGAATAATGCCGGCTTGCTTAGGCGAATTTTTGGTGGAATTAAATCAGTGTTGTTCCGTGTTTTCTGTCAGTGTAAATTCGATCATGCATAGAGTGCGCCATCCAAGCCTGGATACCATGGTTACAACGAGATCGTAGGTGGTGAGCGGCTCTACCGTTGCCCGGTTCACTACCACACCTGATTTATTGAAGCCTTACGGGGTCCGCCACTCCAGGCTCCAGGATCATGGTTGCCCGTTTCATCACAACATAAACATGACAATACAAAATCACGAACGCTCAAGTTCTCTTGCTCGCTCTACGCACTCGCACTGGAAACACGCACTCATCGCCCTTAGCAACATTCGCGGACTGAGCCGCAATATGGATTCTGTACACCAATTTCTCCGTTCTGCTTCTTCTCCTCGTCCTATTTTTGACCAAGACACAAATCTCCCCCTAGTTACCCCCACCCACCTTCAGGTATCTAACTACACTTTCTAGTCCTCTCTACCCAAAGCTGGTGTCTGTGTCTTTACTCACCAATCACTCACCGCCTTCAGGATCCCAAATCTAGACTTTTCCCATTTCAGCTGATGTGGTTGAAGCTCCGACTTCTTTCCTTCCTCCAGTTATTACTTTTGTGTCCTATAACTTTCCCCCGATAGTGGTGACTCCTACGTGTTTGATTTTTACCTTCGATACCACGTTACCATCTTGGGAGATTTTTACGTTCAGGATTGGTTGACACATTCATCTGCCACTTATTCTTTGGGGCGCGAAACCAAACATCTCACTTTGAGAAGATAGGTGGAAAACTCGAGACGTCACCCCAGTCATAATGGCCACAGGGATATTCTCTTTGTACCAAATCGCTTTGAAACCATGGAATGTCCACCTAGGCCTAAAGCAACCCAAACCATACCGCGCACAGAATTTGTGACGAATAAGCACCGTGCATCGTAGCGTTTATATAGAGTAAGATACCAAAGTCCGACTCCCAGAGCTCGAATCCTTAAGCACGTCAGATTAACAACTCCTCCTGCCCATATTCAATCCATGTGCACCGCTAATTTCCATCAAGAAGAAAACGACATACACAGTGGTTCCATGTCTTTTCAGAGCTGAGCGACATATTGACTCTACACAGAATTCATATTGATATAAATAGTGCGTTGTCCAAGTTTATGCTCTCTCGCTCTATTATGTCTCACGTCGCAAAGATTTCCTTCCAGCTACTATCTAGAACTGTGTTCATTCCATTGAAGGAGCTGATTGCACCGTGGCGTAATCAACGCCAGCTGCACATTTTACTATGCGAATCCATTCAAGCGGGTTACATGAGTTAGAAGGGTTATCGATAATGTTAGTTTTTCATCCCTTTGCTTGTTCTATTCACATTGATTGGATAGGTTCCCCCCCCCCTAAATTCTTCTCGAATAGGAATCCATGTACATGCATCTAACCAATTATGCTGTGAACAAACGCCACGCAGATTACAATCGCAGCTCCAATGAGATGTCGGGTAGCAAACGATCATTCAGTTTTTTGGATCAGTATCTACGTGATACACGACACGTGGATCCTATTCACATTTGGCGTAGTATTCGTGAATTGATTGTGAAAACTGTGGCCATTGCCGCGCCGCATCTGCTCCACTCCTATCGCATGTGCCGTCGAGGTCGTACACAGTTGGGTCGAGCATTCAGCTTGGAAACCCTTCCGCCAGCGTTTGGAATACCGAAGACCAAATTGACTTCGAATCAATCCAAAGTTCCCCAAGAACGCGTATCCCGAGTCGCAAACCATAGCGCCTTAAACGGACCGGGACAAACTCAGCGAGCCAGATCTCATTCGACCGTGAAGACGCGTGGAATTGCTCAGTTTATTCCTTCACACTTTTTTGAGATACTTGGTTTTGATATTTTACTGGACGATGAACTGAAACCATGGTTGATAGAAGTGAATCGATCTCCCAGCTTCAATGGTGATCAGGAATTGGATCGCAGAGTGAAACGTGGTCTACTCACGGATACTCTTCGTCTATTGAACATTCGGTAAGTCTCTGTTCTGCGAGATTCAAAATGAGCAATGTGCAGGCGTGTAGTGACCATTTTGCGAGTCTAATTATGAATCTTAAGTGAATTGATCCTAATCGCCTTTATCAGCGCCATCTACCAACAGATAAATTCTGCTATTAGTGCTTTTACAAATACGTCCATGGGTTCTGTTCGATGAGACTTGTTTTCATTCACCGTATATTGCCTTTCATCGTGTACGGTGATTGTGTATTACCAGTCGTTTCAGTTTTCGTTTGTAAAACTACTAACCATGCACTTTTGTGCGGCGGTTTTGGTTGCTGTCTTTCGGTTGCCCATTTTGACGAACGGGCAGAAAAATAAGAAACTCAAAAGCCGTCGAACGGTCTAGCTCATTGCCATCAAACTCTAGTGGTAGGTCGCTTTTCGGAAGTCCGGCTCAATTATGCACCATTCACTTGAAGATGACTGAAGATTTAACAACTTTCGCCTCAACGTTTAGGTTACCGGTTCCCATAGATCAGTAGATCCTCATTCCACTGGTAATCATCTTACGAATCAAAATAAAAAGACTGTTATGTCAAGTGGTTGAACTGTCGGAGGTAGCAAAAGATCCATTTTAATATGGAAACGATCACGTTCTGTCGGCCGTCTGATTCCGGTGGTCTTCTCAACTCAAAGACAACTCGAGTGTTCACAAGTGCAACATAGAACCTCACGAACTTTGGATAGTCAGATGCCCCGGAACGAGCAGGATACATTAGTTCCAGCATGCAATGAGAAGTATCAGAGAGGATAAGCACACGATGCAACTCATCGGAAACGGTTCCGAGTTCAAGGTCAATCCTGACTTAATAATAATAAAAATAAATGTCTTTTTACTTCATTTTTTATTTATCGGATATATAAAATGTACAGTCAACTTACAGGAAGGGGCTGCAGTCATACAAAGGCTGCCTGGGGAAATGCAGTAATAGGGGAGAAGGGCAGTGGTGTAACTGTTCGAACCCAGGACTTCCGGGTGACAATTTATTGACCTAACCACGTGGCCACCACCGTAGTAGTTTGTTATAAGACAGAGTTGAACTTTAAAATCGAGAAACAAAAATGGTTTCTTAAGAAAAAGTGTAATTACGTTACCAGATTTCTTGTTTTCGATCCCCGAAGTGTGTCCACATCTTTCATGATCGAGGTCAAGTCGCAAATGCTTTTTGTTTCTTCACCATATTTTTTTAAGGTTTTACTTTTTACCACATATTTGTGGGGTGGACCCCTTAGTCTCAAAGACCTGGTGTTTAGTGATGGAAACCGGTTACCCAAGTCCTGGGACCTGGACTGGCGAACCGCATGAACCCCGTTCGGTTAACCGTGGTATTGAACTGGACGAGAGAGAAGCTGTCTACCACCAAAGTTGGGTGGCGGGAGCGCGGTTCAAACTTCAGACCATAGAGTCCGAGGCACACCGAGGCACACCGATGACAGGGACTAAACCACCGCACCAAAACCGTAAAAGAGCTCTAGCAAGGTAAGGTATAACGATAACTCCGTACGTGTATAAATTACCTGGGACCCACTGCGGTTAGTGGATCTAGAAGCGGACCATCGATAGGGTGAGACATCAGTTGAAATGCGTGTGCTCAGTCTTTTGTTCGTTTTTGTCAATGTTTCCAGGATGAGGTAAAATTAATTCAATCAAATACTTTCAAAGCTTGCAAGTGAGTATACAACACGTTGCAATAC